ACTCTGTCTTACCGGACGAGTGACTCTGTTTGGCCTGAATTACCCGTTGGATCAGATAGTTCTTCGCTTTCGGAGTCTCGTTGTATAACTCAATCTCGACGAGCGCTGAATCGCAACCGAAACGAATGTATTCGCCTTTAAGACCGAATCCAATCAATCCGTTTAAAACCCATTATAAATATAAACACAAAATACAAACCCAAATGTCCGGAGCGACCGGTGGTCGACGGCTCGCCTCCCAAACCGATAATTATAGAGCAAACGAGCGCTGATTTTCCCGTTCCGTTCGGACCCAACACTAGATTCAAATTGGGTCCCGCCTTCATCTCCACCTTCTTATACGTCCTGATCGTCGATGAGATAATAATTAGTTTAATTGAAACAAAAATTGCAAACACTATATTTGATTCATACATGAAATCTCTTAACAAAAGTCTGACTAAATTGCCGTTTTTGAAGGCAACGGCGCCGTCGGCCGCACCGTTAGTGGCGGCCATCACTATGTCGTGTCCGTCCGTCCGGTCACTCACTATACCATTAAATTGGCGCTAAATTATAGGCACACAAAACAAAACAATATAAATATAATTACAATTAAAATTGTTGTCACATTTTAATCACATGTCAATTACATAACTGTTACGAAAAGTATACACAAAATAACAAATAAATTGAGAGCACCGGTACTTACCGTATGGACAGTCAACACACGCCGACCAACCAATTGGTGACAATCAGTAAATCAAACGCCAATCAAAACTAATCACAATATTTACGGCAAAACTTCAGACAAAATCTCAAAAAACAATTTTCAAAAAGTGGTTACAAAATAAAAAATTATGTAACAAAACGTCAGGTATTGGCCATAAATAACGTGCAAAACATATGCATAACTCGCGCGCGTTATTCGCCTATAAATTCGCACACAATTTAAATGCCTCTCAATTGACGTAATTTACGGCCAATTAATGGCAAGAATTGCGCGAAAAGTTTACAATAGATGTGAAGTGAAAGACAGACAGACTTTGCGTTCAATTGATTCTCGCATTCATTCAGTCATTCATT